GGGGTGTCTCTTCACTCTGTTTTTTAACATGTAACCTGCAACAGTTTACAATTCTGTTCTCCCCTATACTCCTCCATTGGGCAGAACTTCAACTATTTGAAGAATGCCTTTTGGCTTCTAGTAACTGCTGTTGCTGTGCTGTTGAGGTGTGCCAACCTTCTCTTCCAGGATGGGGGTCTTTTTGAAACCCCTCTTTTCCCAGAATGCAGATTTCTAACCTTTTTGCATGTGACCAATGTTCTGAATAGCGGTAGTCTTCACTTCCAAAGTTGCAGAAATACTCTTGACATTTACTTTTAATGAAGAAGCTATTGTAGCCAGCCTGAATGATACTTAGCCAACCTGCAGCATTCAAGTATTTCCTACTGAGGGACAGCAGAGGTTTTTCCTTCAAGCAGCCCTTGCTGTTTCCTACTTGGGCTATTCTGTGATTGGGGAGAACTTAGGTGTCCTAGTTTCTGACTGGGGAAGTGCCTTCTGAGCTGCTGTGGAGGAGCAGCTATCTCACAGACAGGCAGGAACACAGCTCACATCTTGCAGTTACTCTGGCTGGGGCCTGGAAACTCTACAGGCTGAAACAGCCTCATGCAGGTAGAGTGTGGGTACTCAATACCTTCCTTGGCTTGGTCTTCCCTGCCAAGATCTCCCCAGGCTTTTGTGCCTAGAGGCAGGGTTCAAGGAGGGGGGCTACCAGTAGTGGAAGATGATTGTGTCCCAGCAGTTACTGGGAAAGTGTGACACACACATTCTGGGGGATGAGACAGCACGACCCAAGTGTGCTGAGAGAGCTGGTAGGTGTCATAGCAAGGCCACTATCATCTTTGAAAGGTCACAGAGGACAAAACAGACAACAGGATGCCCATGAGCCAGCAATGGGCCCTTGTGGCCAAGAAGGCCAATGGCATCCTGGGGGGCATCAGGAAGAGTGTCCCCAGCAGGTGGAGGGAGGTCATCCTGCCCCTCTGCTCTGCCCTGGGGAGGCCCCATCTGGAGCACTGGGTCCAGGTCCAGAAGGGCAGGGAACTGCTGGAGAGGGTACAGCAGAGGACCACAAAGATGATGAGGGGCCTGGAGCATCTCTCTGATGAGGAAAGGCTGAGGGACTTGGGTCTTTTTAGTCGGGAGAAGAGAAGGCTGAGGGGGGACCTGATCAACACCTATAAATACTTCAAGGGTGGGTGTCAGGAGGATGGGGCCAGTCTTTTTTCAGTGGTGCCCGGGGACAGGACAAGAGGGAACGGGTACAAACTGAACACAGGAAGCTCCATCTGAACATGAGGAGGAACTTCTTCACTTTGAGGGTGGCAGAGCCCTGGAAGAGGCTGCCCAGGGAGGTGGTGGAGTCTCCTTCCCTGGAGACATTCAAACCCTGCCTGGACACGTTCCTGGGGGACCTGCTTTGGCAGGGGGTTGGACTAGATGATCGCCAGAGGTCCCTTCCAACCCCATACCATTCTGTGATATGGAGATCAGGGGATCTCCACGAGGCCAGTCAAGCACTGGGACTGGGAAAGGTGTGCCAGCCTCCATCCTCACAGGCTTTTATGATCCAGCTGAGAAAAGTGGTACGAATTCAGCGTTGACTCTGCTCTGAGGAGGAGGCTGGCCTGGAGCCTGAGAGCCGTTCCAAAACGAATTGTTGTATGACAGCTTGTATATGCTACGTAATCCAAGAATTTCCATTCTTGGAGACTCTCCTTCAGACTTACCCTTGTGGTATCTACAGGCCTATGCTCATGGCCTTCTTCATCCTTAGGAGTATGGATGCAAAAGGCAATATTCACCTAGAACTACTTCAGTTTGATGGGTTGTCTCCTGGTGGCCGGTGTCCGAGGCTACACTCAGACAGGGCTACTGGGCCACCAAGTGAATTGTCTGGAATACAGACGGCTGCGTTTTCAAGCCGGAGAGCTGCCGGGGAAGGGGTGACATCACATCTCTGGATGGCGGATACGCTGCAGCTGGGTTGCTTGGTCACTCCCTTTTGACGGGGTCTTTTATTTTCTTGCAGCTTTGTGACAGGAGCCAAGCTGCCTGCTTGCCTGGACATCACAGGGGTAGCGTTTTCATAACAAATGCTTTCTGGCGCTCAGAGGGGCGAGCGGGCGGCCGAGCTCCGGGGCTGGACACTTCTGCCCCCGTCTCTGCCCCTCAAATGCTGATTTTCCACAGTCCCAGGGGCTTTTCCAAAGCTACATCATCTCATCTCCCCAAAGCTACCTCATCTCCCCAAAACGGAGACTGGGGAAGAGCCGATGCGTTTCCTCTCAGACCTTCGCGCTCAGAGACAAAAGCCATTAAGGAGGACACCCCGGGGTTCGCGTCCGGCGGGGGCCACCCGAAAATGGCAGCGCCCATCCGGCTGCTCCCCCCCCTTCCTTCCCGGGCGGGAGGGCACCGCGTTTACCGGCACCCCCGTCCCCGCGAGCCCCGGGACGAGCGTGGGGTCGGTACCGCTCGCCGCCTCGCCCGGGGGCGCCGAGCCAAGGCCTCGCGCAGGCGCCGTTGTTGCCGCCGCCGCCTGGCTCACGACATGGCGGCGCTGCGCGTGCTGCGGCGGGCGGCGGGGGCGCCGCTGTGCCGGGCCGGTGCCGGGGACCGGCGGGTCGCTTCGGGGGGACCCCCGCCCTCCGTGCCTCAGCGCATCGAGGAGAAACGCCGCGCCGCCCTCCTGGGCGGCGGGCAGGCCCGCATCGACGCGCAGCACAAGCGGGTGAGCCGCCGGTACACCCCTCCTACCCCCCCCTACTCCCCACCTCACGGCGGGGGGCTTCACCTCCGCCACCGGCACGGCGGCCCCCCCCCCAGGCTCCGGGCCGGGAGACCCGCTGTCTGTAGGGTAGGAACGGGGCGGTGCTAAACCGGAGGGACCTTCCGCCGTCAGAGGGGAAGCGGCGGAGTGCGGGCAACCGGGGGCGGCTTTGCCTTGCGGTTCAGAGGCCCTTTGCGGGGGAGCTTCACTGAAGGGGCGTTGGAGACTGCGTTACCTGTTACTGCGGGCAGGGAAAAAATACCCTACAAACTCCTTTACAATCACCTTTGTCACCAGATTGGCTATAATGCATTTGTATGAGGAAAAACTTGCAAATTCTGTCATGTGATGGCAAGTTGTAGGTTGCTTAACGCTTTGCTGGGCTTGGAGGTGTGCCATCCAGCACAGCTGCAGCCTTCACACTGCCCCTGCAAGGCTCGGCTGGTCTCCTAAGAAAGTGAGAGCAAAGAGCTAGAAGAAGTGGAAATAAGGCAGAGGAAAAGACAGATGGGAAGGGTGACAACAGCTGGATTTTGAGTCTCTTGCCTCTATTGTTGAGAATTTAGGCAATGCTGAGGGAGGTGGCAACACAGTTTTCCTATTTATTATTATTGTGTCTTGCTGGGATGTCTTTTCTGTTCAGAGCATGGACCTAGTGGTAACACGATGACTTGAAGGCATCAAGGAGGTGGTAATAGCCATTCACATGAAGACTACATGAATGAGCAGTTTGCCCATCAGGAGTCTCCCTCCTGCAGTTATACAACATCCAAAAAGAGTTACAGGCTTACCCAGTTACATTCAGGACACTGTCAGACCAATGTGCAAGCATCTCTGCGTGTCTAGGGGCCTCAAACATCTTATGTCATATATTTTCTACAAATTAAATGTATGGCTTATCTGCATTTGTTGATTTTTCAGGAACTTTTTGATCTACGGGTCAGAAGTTTTGCAAAGAAGCTGAGCTATGATTTAACATCACGTTGAGGGAGGGACATATCATCTAAAGAAAGCAACCTAGGTGCCCTGACATGGACAGATACGTACCTGGGTTGGAAATAACAAATTTGTTTGGAAGGTTAAGATAAAAAGAACTTTGCAGTCGTTTATTACTGCATGACATCATTAGTACTGAGCAGGGGACATGCATAACTGGTCAATTGATTACATTCTTGGCCCTTACTCTACCCTTGCGTGCCCAACAGAAAAAAGAACAAAAGGATTTTGTCAGAAAAATCCCTGCAGGCTGTCGTGTTTCCTTTTTTCCTCTCATTTGCTGCAGTCAAATATCGAGCGTGGTGGATTGAGCCTTGAACTGTTGGTAAGGACTGGTTTAGCTGTGGAAGGATGCCATGTTTAAGAATAGAACAAAGGCCTTAACAGAGGCATTTAACTGTATAGGCAAAAATAGCTGTGATGCTGTTACGTCTTGTTGGAAAGACCCTGAGATTGTTTCTTTTATCTTGTGGTAGTGCTGTTCCAATAAGTCAGTCGACTTTTCAAAGTCTGGCTCGCGTTATGTTTGTTTTTAAGGAGGGTAATCACTATATAGGCTATTTCCAGCTTTGGGGGCACGCAGTTGCTTAATGGGCCAAACTTAGCAGACCAAGTGAGGTTATGTTTGATTAAACTACATCTGCTGGTGGTCATGTTTCAAGCCAGATCCACCTGATGGCTATATTAATTGGTGTTTGCTTTGTTTCAGGGAAAGCTCACTGCAAGAGAACGGATTCTTCTGCTGTTGGACCCCGACAGTTTTGATGAATATGACATGTTTGTGGAACATAGGTGTTCTGACTTTGGGATGGACTCTAGTAAGAATAAGGTATTTTTATTTCATATAATTCTTGTTTCTTTGTCCTCTGGTTGAAAATAGTTTCTTCTGTTTGCATGTAATTACTTTTGATTTTTTTTTGTTTGTTTTGCAAATTTCTTTTTGTTATTCTCATTTTCCATTTAACAGCTTACACGGTTTACTTTTCCATTATCTAAACTCGATACCTTTTTTATAAGGTCACCTATTTTGTTCAAATACCTCCCCGGATATTGTCTTAGATTTGTATTTTAAATAATAGGAGGCCTCAGAGTTTTGTTGTTACAGGTTTGTCATTCAAGTCAGATATGAAGAACAAATACGGGTGGATACTTCTGCCTCTCTCCAGGTGACATGAGAGTTATAGGCTGAAATAACTTAGATCCATATTTATGCCTGCCAGACTACAGAGTCAAAAAATCCTTTAGGGTCTTGAAATCTGATCTGTTTGGAAATTCAAACATTCATACTGGTCTGTTAGCGAGTTGTAATCTGCTTGCTTATGCAGATTTCAGATACTGGGCTATGGATCCTAAACCAACGTGATACATGAGGTTCATCAGGTAGAGGGAAGATTTATGGCTCCCCAAAATCTTTCACCATAACATCGATGTCTGTTAAATCACTACATGGGAGAGCTGTTTTGTTGCAGTTCAGTGCTGGGATGTGTAGGTTCAATGCCAATGTGTCTGTTCCATGTGAATCTTCCTGTAGCAAAAGGCCTGATTTGCTGTGGAATATCCTGGTTTGGGGTGTGGTGAGAACCTGCTCCGTGTGAGCCACTGCCCCATGCTGTCCACAATGTCTACAACTCCTGTTCATGCAGATCTTAAACCAGTTCAGTCCTTCAAGCTGCTGCATCTTATGGATGAGGGAGGGATCAGCAGGCTTCCAGCAGGAGCAGCTGGGGCATTGGGAACTGGCAAAGGTGAAGGATTTGTTTTGGTAGCCAGGAGACTGATGGAACTTTGTGCTGGGAAGGATGTCGTGCTAGACCTCTCCCTCCTGCTGACTGTACAAGCAAACATTCTTTAAGTAATTTTTCACTCTGTTCCCAGCAAACTGAAATAATGGCTCTGTTGCCTCTCATCCTGCATCGCACAGTGCTGGTAACAAATGGCTGTTTCTGAAGATAGGAGGAGCAGCAAAGTCCTGAGAGTGACAAGAGGGTTAATTTTTTCCTTGTCCTTCAGAACTCACCTTTCAGTGAGCTGCAGATTGTGTTTACAGAGCAGTTTCACAACAGATGACCTAACTGTGGCCAGTGAGGTGGAATATTAGTTTACTATTGAATTTCTCCGAGTTCCTGGAACTTTCTGAAGGTAGGGTGAGACTCGTACTCACATCCAGGCCACTCTGTGGGCTGCTTGGGCTTTTAGTAGTCATCTGTGCGAGACAGTGGCTGGAACTACAGGTGTGTTTCCTGCTGTTCTGTGTGCCAGGAACCAAGAGTGCTGTCTGCAGCCTGGGAAAAGGCCCCACACTGGTATGACCTTCCAGAGAACAGATCACCTTGAGCATAAATGGCCCTTAGAGTGCACAATATGTTCTTTTTTTTTTTTTCCCCATACCAAACAGCAAAAAGCATTTAAATGCCAGGGATGCCTTTATGACAGCTCAGTAAAGTTTCTTTCCTACTTGAAGTCTTGAAAGACTTCTGTATGTTTTCTTTACTATAAAGTGAGACAACATAGGTAAGCAGATTTTAAGATTTGCAGGTTCCACTTCTTCTTTCAGCTCTTTCCTCTTCCCTTACTCACAGGGTGAAAAAAGGGACAGATCAAGTTGAAGTATTTGGGGTGACTAGTTAAATTTCTTGACCTTTCCAGGGTTGTTTTCTTTTTTTCCCTGTATCAACACATCAAGAAAGGTTTGTGTGCTGTGTCCATTCTTTCAAAAACATCAGCTGGTCCTAATAAAAGGTACATCCTGTCTCTAAGGACATGATTTTCCTTAACTCCAGATGTGCTGAAATTTGAAGGGGAACTGCAAAATTCATGAATCTTTACACTAATGCACAACTAAAATGTGGTGTTACCTCCTGTTCTTCTTTCCAGTGCTGGGGGAAATCCTTGTGGGACCCCCCACTGCAAACATGAGAGACCAGTCCTTTCAGAGACTCAGTCTTAGCTTTGACTCAATATAAGTTTGAGGGGGTTTTTAGTGGGCATGGTTGCTGCTTTGATTTTTTAAAAATTATTATTTTTAATTAATTGACTTGGGTTTTTTTAATGCAGTATCCTGGAGACAGTGTGGTGACTGGCCGTGGACGGATTAATGGGAGACTGGCTTATGTTTTCAGTCAGGTATGGTTTTGCGGGGTGTTTTTTAAATAGCATGAACTTATCCTTTGAAAAAAATTCACAATAGTTCAGTGTGGCCATGCAGTAACGTACCTGTTTACTTTCTACCAATAAGCATAAGATAGACATAACATCCCGTGGGAGGAAGCAGGGCACCCTCAGACAAGAAAAAGCAAAAAAGCATTTCTAAAAACTTTGTTGGGTGAGAGATGCAGTTGTGGGAAGGGCGAGGAGAAAAGAGCAGTGAATGCAGAGCCAGTGGGAATGTTTTGAAAAAATGAAACTGTTATTTCTTTCGCATAATATCATTGGATGGCGATATGCTGAGAGACTGGGGGAGTCCCACAAGTGTCAGTGGAGGAACTTTGTGGGTTCTGAGAACTGTTTTGAGGGTTTCAAGCTGCAGAGCAGGGGCTGTTTGCTGGAGATGACAACTGGAATTGCAATGAGTGGAATTCATGATAGAGGGCACTTGAGCAACCTTGAATTGTTTCTCAGATTTGATCTCTCAGATTGTGAGGGATACTGTATAAATAGATAAAAATATACTTTTTATGTTAAAATATACTTTCTGTATTAAAAGACAAATACTTTAGAGGAAACACCGCAGCTAAAGTTTTATCTTGGTTAGTCTTAACACAGTGAAAGAAAGACCTTCTTTCAGATGGTTGGCTCCTCTCTTCTGGGTCACAAAGTAGCCTTTGTTCAATTTGCTATCATGGCCAAAATGATTGTTGCTCTGTGACCTTGGAGCGAGTCATACACCCTGCCTTTTTTGTCTTGGACATGTAGTTCTTCCAGGGAAGGACACTGTTATGTGGGCCTTAACATAAGATAGGAGCCCAACACAGAACACAAGTAGAGAGCAGTTTTTCTACTAAAAGAATTTAAATGTGTCATGTGTCCCTTCATGATACACCTTTTTTTTTTTTTTTTAATATACTTATATTTAAAGACCTTTTTCCCTTCCAAATCAAGCTGCCACGTGAGGTGTTCCTTTCTTCTTGGTTCAACTGCTGGTCATAGTCATGCCCTTCTCTGCCCACGCAGTTTTTAGGGCTTCTTTGAGAGTAAGACTCAGTGGGAATACATCAGAGAAACTCACCAGAAGTTGGCTCTGGGCTCTCTTGATGCCAGTAGGTGTCAATATCCCCTTTCTCTTCTCAATCAGTCCCAGTCCCCTGTGTTGCTTGTTCAAGACCTTACTGTGGGGACCAACAGGCAGGTTTGGCTGACAGTAGTCCCTTTAGCACCCATAAAAGAATAATTGACTCTTCAAGCATAACTCACAGTGGCATATTTTTCAGTTTTTGATTTCTGCCTGTTTGCAGGCATCTCATCCTGCTTCCCCTTGCAGTGAGACTCTCCTCACAGGTGGAATTTCTCCAGGCTACTCCAGTATTGATAATGTCCATGAAGGGGAGCATGTCTTTATAGAAAAAGAGAATGTTTCTGTGAAGGAAAAAAAAATAAAAGCAAATGAGACGTAGTAATTTTGTGATTTTAAATAGAAGCTGCTGGCAAATGTGTATAAAAGATCATTTTGCTTGTAAAGAAGGCTTGGGTTGGACCGGATTGATCTGCAGGCCATGGTAAAGAAGTTGGGTTGCTTTGGAGCAGCATACCAAATACAGAGCAGTGCAGGATTGTACTGTTTACTTGCAACATTTAACTGAAATGATTCCTTCCTTAATCTGAAAATTTGTTTTCCCTCCAGGATTTCACTGTGTTTGGAGGTAGCTTATCTGGAGCTCATGCCCAGAAGATCTGCAAGGTAATACTTCACAGGAGAAAATAAACCAAAAAATTGACAGTATTTTTTTTTATTATTATTTTATTGTGTTAATGACTCTGGAAAAAATTATTTGTGACTGACTTTAGTGGACTTTGGTGTGTGTCATAGCAACCTAAAAATGCCTGTCTCCTCATGTCAGTTAAGATGTGAAAGCACAGGTGAGCAGAGGGGTCCCTTTGGAAGCTTTTCAACTGTAAGGGAGCTTTTCCAAGTAAGACTCACTTTTTTTTTTTTTTTCTTAATAAAGTTGCCTTTTCTGCTGTGCTACCAAAGACAAGAGAGATTGCAAAGTACAAATATAAATTAACTGGCTGTTGTCTACTGGAGAAAATGTGAAATCACTTGGGAGAAACATTTTCCTATAAACAGTACTATGTGGAAGTGTGTAGTATTTATAAAAAGCAAATGTAACAAGTAAACAATCTGAAGATAAACAGTTTTACAACTTGGAGGTCACCTCGATACTCGGAGCTTCTGTTATCAAGCACTTGTGGCTATTTATTCTCATTTATCTGCTTGTCTCACTGGAAAAACTGGCGTTTGCATCCCAGGGAGGAGGAAGACAACAACTTTTTTGTACATGAGTGGTCAGTGGTGTGGGCTGGTGAAAACTTCCCGAATTTTCTTGCTAGGGAATCAGAAACAAGGTTTTTAGTGCACAAGGCCTGTTCTTCTGATGGAAATAACTACATTTTGGCAGAGACTTTTCAGCAGTGAGGAGGTATAAAACTGGAAAACACAAAGACTTTGGGCTGGATAATAACTACTTGGCTTTACCAAGTCTCAATATTGGGAAAGACTAGATATTACTCATTCTCATTGGAGCTTTGCAGTGTCTCTTTTTATTAGGGAGGGATATAACGGTACTTGAACGATGGGGTGCTTTCTGCTGGTTTTTTTGGTCTCTTATTTCTAAAGAAGCAGGGAGAGTGCTGGTAGCAGGACTAGAAAACAATGTGAGTCCCCCCTAGTCGGTACTGTTCTTGGTTGGCATCAATGTCAGTGGTAGGCTCCAGAGGTTGAAGGCTCTGGATGCATGAGTTGCTTTGGGGTTCAGAGTCTTTGAGGTTGCAGCCTGGGCAGTGGAGAGCTCAAAAAAGACTGGCTGGGTGGTGTGGTGTCTGTCTCACTTCCAGTTTTTCTTATTGGGCTGAATTCTGGGAAGCAGAAATCTGTTTTAAAAGATGGTCTTGGCTCCTGCAAGCCTTTTCAGTGGCTTAAGGGATGTAAAATGCCAAGGAACATGGAAGTGAAGTTGTTGTCCCTTGGCTGGACTTCCCTGGAGATCTGCCCCTTTGGTAATCATTTCCCATTAGGGATTTTTTTCTGGAGTCGCAGAGAGGTAGCAATATTTGGCATCTTGATTTGGCTCCAAGTTAGGTAGGTCTGGGCTACAGATTGCCTGTTACTTTTGCAGAAGAGCCTTGTGGTCTTGCAGACCACATTAAATGCCTGCGATGGTTTTCCTGAAGCAACAGAGATGTAGTGTGGCTCTTCTGAGTAATAGGTGCCCACTTGTGGTGGGGAACACTTGGAAGCACGTGTACATCTCTGCATCTATGAAATCATGTTTCAAAATGGTTGTTGAGTCCATGAGATGAAGAAAAGTGGTTTTTGAAAATGAATCCTGCAATGTTCCCTGCAAATACTGGTATGGCAGGAAAAAAAGTCTGGGCTCAAATACACTAGTACGTTTTCAGTAGTCTGAATGTGCATAGTGAAGTCTGTTTTAAGAAGAACTTAGGTGTCTGGAAAAGCCTTGAAGTAAGTAATTAACCCATATATAAGCTGCCAGAAAACAGCAAAACGTGTCAGTGAACTTGTTTCACTAACCTGTCCTCGTAAGGTAACAGGCATTCTAGGAAGAAGCAATAAATGTCAACTCAGCTCATTTTAATAAGGCATTTTTAATAAGGCATTTGACAATGTCTTGTGTAACATTAACATAAGGAAATGAGGCCACTCATGGCTTGCAGAGTCTCTGTTTGCAATCCAAACAGATGCTTTTTTAAATGTGGGATGTTATTTAAATTGTAAAGTCATTCTGTGTCTGCCACAGTGATATTTCAACTTTTAAACAGACACCCAGGAACAAAGCACGAAGAACCCCTGTTTTACATTGAATGGCTGCAAGTAGGAGGACGGGCACTCTACAACTCTGCAGAGATAGCTGTGGCCAGTTGGTGTTCTGGCTGGGATTTTGGTACTGCTGAGATACCGTTGATTTGAATGGAACTGAGCGCAGTTACTGTGTTTCTAGGCAATATAAAATTCAAGGTTGATGCTGCAAGCACTCTGAAACACAGGACTGGAGTTTAAAAAAAGCTTAAGAAGATAAAGATTGTCTGAATTAAGATATAATTCTGTAACAAAGATTGAAAGGGCACCGAAAGCAACTTTGAAATTCAAAGTGGGGACTGACAGACTGTGTAGTTTTAGAGAAAATTATTTAGGAGCTAAAGCAGATCTTAATGTTAAAGCAGATCGTAACATAATCTGTCTGTGCTGTAGTGTTACTAAAATGGCAAACGTTTTACTGGGATCTAATAAGCAGGAATACTTTGTGCAAGGAATGTAAGGAAATCAATCCTCCCACTAATGTAATACTCCAACACAGGCTTACGATCTTGAGGCAAGTAACCAAAATGATCAGAGATCTAGAAAATACAATGTAGGAAGAACAACGTGATTGAGTTGTGGTGCTTAGTCTATAAACATGAAGGGAAATGAGAAGACTGAAGGAAGAGTTGAGGTGCTTGGATGTTTATGAAGGTGGAGGCAAAGGGTTGTTAATTGCTTTCCCTGTCTACTATATATCGAGACAGAAGTACTGTTTCTAAATTTCCGGAGGAAAGATTTAGTTTAGTCTTCTCAAAGAACTTCTAAGAAGGATAATCAAGCATTAGAACACACTGCTTAGGGAGATTACACAATCACCACTGCAATAAACTTTTAAGATCAGATTAGACTTGAATAAAGGAGGGTTTAAGGTGTGGTTGATACTTCTTATGAACAGAGATAGATTGGACTTCTCTGGTCCAAACTCCTGTGTTTGTGTCACTTGGTGCAGGGTTTGGATAGTGCAGTGATGGAGATGCACAGCTAGTAAGGCAGATTGATATTAAAGGTTGTGAGAGGGATTAAAAGTGTATCTTCTAGCCTGCAGTCTGAAGAGTCAAAACATAATACCCCAGTAAGAAGATAGTGACTGTGAAAGTTAATAAAAATAAAGGAGAAGCTGAGTGCTTTGTAGGCAGTTCAAATCCTGGCACAAATGGATTTCTTTTTTCTAGGGGATGTACATTTCAGGAGGTGGTTGCTTTGGGAGTTTGGCTTAGCTGGGTCAATAACGAGGAGTTTGTGTTCATCACCAGATCATGGATCAAGCTGCCCTGGTCGGAGCCCCCGTGATTGGGCTGAATGACTCTGGAGGAGCCCGTATCCAGGAGGGAGTGGAGTCCTTGGCAGGCTACGCAGATATATTTTTGGTAAGTCTGCTGCTGGGTGACCCGGAAGCTTGGCATCCACAAAGATTGGACAAAGTCTTTCTTTAATAAAGTCTGTATTTGTAAGTAAACTTTTAGGTTATCATCATCCTATTTCAGCCACTGTCACCTGGTAGAGAAAAGGAGGCATATTTGGGGGTTTGTGAGACCTGAGCTGTCCTCTTGGTTCTCTTCTTGGCTTTGGGCAAATAACTGTACCTGTTTGTTTCATTTACTCGTGTTAAACAAGGGTAATGCTGAGCCTTGTAAAACACTGTGATGCAATGTACAGCTCTGTAGGAGTCTCACTGTATAGTGCTCTTTGTCGTAAGAATGAAAGAACAGGCAATTTACTTAATTGGAAGAACCCCCCCAAGCAACTCTTTTAACTTTCTGATTCACACTTAAGTATAGATTGTGTGTGTCAGGATGTAATTTCTGTCAAGTGTTTCTCTCTCTTTCTGAGACAGGTGGACAGGCTGGAGTTCAGAGGGTGTTTTGTTAGGTGACTGATGGTTGTGATCCACTACCAGCTGTCTCCATGTCTCCTCTGAAATACAGACAAGAATTTCATACAGCAGATTTATTTTCAATAGGGCTGATAAAAGATGAAAGATTTCCACTGCAGAAAGAGGGACTTAAAGTAAATCAAACCCTATGTACTTGAAGAAAACTTGAGAAACTTGGATCAGAAGCATCAAGTGCCTGTTCTCTCAAGGAAAAAAAGTCTGGGCTCAAATACACTAGTACGTTTTCAGTAGTCTGAATGTGCATAGTGAAGTCTGTTTTAAGAAGAACTTAGGTGTCTGGAAAAGCCTTGAAGTAAGTAATTAACCCATATATAAGCTGCCAGAAAACAGCAAAACGTGTCAGTGAACTTGTTTCACTAACCTGTCCTCGTAAGGTAACAGGCATTCTAGGAAGAAGCAATAAATGTCAACTCAGCTCATTTTAATAAGGCATTTTTAATAAGGCATTTGACAATGTCTTGTGTAACATTAACATAAGCAAATGAGGCCACTCATGGCTTGCAGTGTCTCTGTTTGCAATCCAAACAGATGCTTTTTTAAATGTGGGATGTTATTTAAATTGTAAAGTCATTCTGTGTCTGCCACAGTGATATTTCAACTTTTAAACAGACACCCAGGAACAAAGCACGAAGAACCCCTGTTTTACATTGAATGGCTGCAAGTAGGAGGACGGGCACTCTACAACTCTGCAGAGATAGCTGTGGCCAGTTGGTGTTCTGGCTGGGATTTTGGTACTGCTGAGATACCGTTGATTTGAATGGAACTGAGCGCAGTTACTGTGAAAATGATTTTGGTTCTATTTGCATCAAGACGTTCTCTCTCAGTAAATAAAACAAGCTGTCCTCTCCTGTTCGTGACTGAATTCTTGCAGAATCTGTGCATGGACTTAAAGATGCACTTTTTTGGGTAAAACTTAGACGTCTTGTTTTAAAAGATGGTCTTGGCTCCTGCAAGCCTTTTCAGTGGCTTAAGGGATGTAAAATGCCAAGGAACATGGAAGTGAAGTTGTTGTCCCTTGGCTGGACTTCCCTGGAGATCTGCCCCTTTGGTAATCATTTCCCATTAGGGATTTTTTTCTGGAGTCGCAGAGAGGTAGCAATATTTGGCATCTTGATTTGGCTCCAAGTTAGGTAGGTCTGGGCTACAGATTGCCTGTTACTTTTGCAGAAGAGCCTTGTGGTCTTGCAGACCACATTAAATGCCTGCGATGGTTTTCCTGAAGCAACAGAGATGTAGTGTGGCTCTTCTGAGTAATAGGTGCCCACTTGTGGTGGGGAACACTTGGAAGCACGTGTACATCTCTGCATCTATGAAATCATGTTTCAAAATGGTTGTTGAGTCCATGAGATGAAGAAAAGTGGTTTTTGAAAATGAATCCTGCAATGTTCCCTGCAAATACTGGTATGGCAGGAAAAAAAGTCTGGGCTCAAATACACTAGTACGTTTTCAGTAGTCTGAATGTGCATAGTGAAGTCTGTTTTAAGAAGAACTTAGGTGTCTGGAAAAGCCTTGAAGTAAGTAATTAACCCATATATAAGCTGCCAGAAAACAGCAAAACGTGTCAGTGAACTTGTTTCACTAACCTGTCCTCGTAAGGTAACAGGCATTCTAGGAAGAAGCAATAAATGTCAACTCAGCTCATTTTAATAAGGCATTTTTAATAAGGCATTTGACAATGTCTTGTGTAACATTAACATAAGGAAATGAGGCCACTCATGGCTTGCAGAGTCTCTGTTTGCAATCCAAACAGATGCTTTTTTAAATGTGGGGTGTTATTTAAATTGTAAAGTCATTCTGTGTCTGCCATAGTGATTGTTCAACTTTTAAACGGACACCCAGGAATCCTGTTTTACATTGAATGGCTGTGAGTAGGAGGAAAGGCACTCTAGAACCCTACAGAGATAGCTGTGGCCAGTTGGTGTTCCAGCTGGGATTTTGGTACTGCTGAGATACCATTGATTTGAACGGGTCTGAGTCTGGTTACTGCATCTTTTTTTGTTGTTGTTGCAGAGAAATGTTCTGTGTTCTGGGGTAGTTCCACAGATTTCCCTCATTATGGGTCCTTGTGCTGGTGGAGCTGTGTATTCGCCCGCTTTAACTGATTTCACATTCATGGTGAAGGTAAGGGGGCAGTATATTTTGACCTTTTGCTGTTGGATTAGATGATCTTCAGGGTCCCTTCCAACTTAGACAATTCTATGATTTCATGATTGATCAGATGCAAACTAACCCCATGTGAAAGGGTATTTTTGACACGGTCTCCTACTTGGAATGAATCTTATTTTTCATGAAAACCAAGAATAACTTTCCCAAATAACCTGTGAATAATTGCATTTTCTGTGGATTTTTAATATAATGCACTAAGGACTTTTAAGAAATTTGACCATGTTCTACTGTTTTCTTATGTTGGGGCAAATTTCTAGAGACAGTGGCTTTTCCTTCAGTGCTTTTGCAGCTTGGGCCTAGCATTTACTGTGTGGTTTTGCTTTTTCCCCCTCCTCTCCCAGGATACATCCTATCTATTCATCACTGGCCCGGATGTCGTTAAGTCTGTTACCAATGAAGATGTCACCCAAGAGCAGCTTGGGGGTGCGAAGACACACACTGCTGTATCTGGTGAGAGCTGGGTAGTTTTTTTAACAATACTGTAGATTCTTTAAAGTAAATGACATAGTTGTAGCTAAACAGCTGATTGTCTAATGCAGGTTTTTGTAGTCACGACTGTCAAGAGACTAAGTGATAAAACTTGCAGATCTTACACTGTATAAGGCTGTCTTGCCCTGTACTGAAATAATGGAAAACAGAATAGGAAAAGTGGGAGTGTGGGAGGGTTCTGGATTTGGCAGAGAACGTAGCAAATCCACAAAAGATTCCAGAAGTGGGAAGATTGTTGGAGGGTAAGGCTTAGCAAATCAGGCTTGGGGTGGTTTTCTTGTTTATTGTCCAGAAATTTGCATGGGTTGAAAGATTCTTAACAATCCCTTGTTTGCTTACAAACACGATTGATTGAACTTCTTAGCTATAAACCAAGTGGCAGTGTGAGATGAAGTGCTATTTTTTTTTTTCTCTTTTTTTTTTTTCTCCCCTCTGGGAAAACTTGGTGACTCATGAGTTTTGAGCTTGAGGCTCAAAATTACTGTGGGATCTCAAATTCTGTCTGAACTGAACTGATGATGAACCAAAACCACACACAGAGACGCTGCTCACATCCAGCCTTTACAGAAGAACTTGTGGTCCAAAGCTTGAGCGCAGCACAGTAACCTGGGTTGAATTCCAGAATTCAATCTGTGATGGCTGATAAACCAGTTTACAGGATTTTAAATAGGAGCTCAACAATCCAGACTCGTTAAGGGGGAAGTCTGATACAGCCACACATTTTCTAGATATTTTTAGCTGGTCAAATGGGGTGGCTTAAAACTCCTGATGGTTAATAGCTCAGGCTTAAAAATTCTTCCCGTTACTTCTTTGTATCTTTATTGGTACATCTTGAAAATAAAACCTTGCAAAATAAGGTCAATAACTGCTTAACTGTTTATTTCCAGGAGTCGCACACAGAGCCTTTGAGAATGATATAGATGCTTTACTTAATCTCCGAGAGTTCTTTAATTATTTACCTCTCAGCAACCGTGATCCAGCTCCGGTGCGGGAATGCCACGATCCCAGGTAAGAGGAGACTGACTGGCTGCAGAGACGTGGTCTCTGACCTGTTGGGTAAATTCTGTTTGTGAAGGTTGGTGGTGGGGAAGCAACAAGGAGGTACTTGTCTGTCAGGCTCATTGTGTGCTTGGCAACACAACAAAGGAAGGACTCGAGTCATTTCAAGAGGAGAAAAATGTTGACTGTCTGGACTTTTATCAGAGAATTTTTCCAGAGATAGAGGGAGAGCCAGGGAGCTGGTGCGGGGCTGGCTGAGCAGGCAGCCTTGCTTGTGGTGTTAAAGACAGAGCATGTCAGTGGAGTCAAAGCAGTTGCCAATTGCTTTTGGAGAATGGTCAGTTGGGTCAACTAATCACTTGTCCTAATTTTTCTAAGATGTGGATCTTTAGGTGTTTATTAAACTGGAAGACTGTTCTGGTTTGATAGTGACAAACCAAAGCAAATCTCTTAGGTGAATTTGTAGACTGGGAGGATTATCTCTGAGTTTATCATGTTCCTTGTAGGCATTCAACAAGCTGTACTGGGATAATTACCCTCTATAGACTTGAATGGGTTATTTTAATTTCATTATAGAAACAACAGTCTGGATTTTTTAATCAATGTTTCTTATAATAGGCAGTTTATTTTCATGGGAGAAGCTGTCAGTTACGTTGTACCTACTAAGGTGTGAGATTAATTCTTGATTTTCTTCACGGAAGCAGTCTCTTACATAGCACCAGCTACTTTATTAGAGGATAACAGTGTAATAAATGCTCAATAATTTGTACTAAGAACTTCAGTTTAGTAGTCCCTGTACATGCGAAGACAGATCTATTTGTTAAATTTGCCTGATTTTATAGCAGCATCCCAAATATTTCTTCTATTTGTGGCCTTAATGCTTACACGGGTAATATTTCATCTGGACATACTGACATCTTAATCGACTCCTTTCACTTAGAATTGCTGTGTTTGATCCCTACCCCTGCTCCAGTCAAAGCCCATCCCTCTACAGTCATTTCTTTCTTTCTGCATCATTTTGACACCACAAAAAAATTTCCATGAATAATAAAAATTAAATTAAGCGTACTTTTTTCTTCCTTGTTAAGTCCAGAAGCTGATGGGGTTTGTTTTGTTTTGTTTTGTCTGTTGGATTTTTGTTTCTCTGGGTGGGTAGGTTCTTTGTGGTGTTGAAAAACATCAGTCTTGGTTGCTGAAACTTCTGTCAGAGTTTTTGATGTCAGGGATCGGGTTCTAAGGAGTTAGAAGATTCCTTACAGTACCAAGTTGACTGATGGTGAATATGCTCTCTACCTTTGAAGGGTATCTAGTTTGTTGCATTTAGTATATTGTGTGGTGGGATTTTTACCTTTATGTGTCTTTGACTATAATCAAATTTCCTTTCTGAAACCTGCATACAGATTTCTGGAGGAGGTTATTGTCAATTCTTGGTAACTGAGTGCAGTTTCCCTTTTCTGTTGAACGAAACCCAGTATCAATCTGGGTGAGAGTGGCAGTGGCAGGCTTCAGATGACTCTTTTGATGATGAGCAGCAGCAGTTCCTTCCTGATAAGTGGGATCTGTAAGAAACACAGTTCTCAGCCTCTGAAGTCCAGTGACTCTGTTAGCAAGCTCCAGATATTATCTGTGATGATTTGCAGATTTTAAAACTTGTGATATCCTGGGTAATGTCTTCATTTTGATGGTAGTTATTAATTTTAATGCCCTTATAATTTCCCTCAGTGCTCTACAGCCCTGTGAATTTATGGGAGCAATAATTTTCCTTTTTCCACTTTCCTTATCCTTTGGGGATACCACAGGTAATGGAGAGAACTTAGAGCACATTCTGTGGACAAGAAAAAGTTTTAGAATCTTTTGTAGCTTGGGGTTTAGTATGTTAAAATTAATTGCTTTCATCAGATTAAGGTTTCATTATATCATTTTATGGAAATATTTGCAAGCCATACCCTTAATCATGTGGAGAAAATACTTGAAGCGTTGCTGCCGGTTTTATTCTATGAATAGATGTGTCTCCTACTCTCTCGGCAAGGAGTTGTGCCTCTCTGGTCCTGTGTGTGTGAGGGAGCACAGGGACAGCCTGGGGCTCGCATTATTAGTTTTCCCCTGATCTTGACGAACTGCAGATCACTTCCTTCAGTTTCAAATTGGGTGTCTAGAGCCTTGTGTTGTATTGTTGTAAATGTCCTAAATCACGGCATTGTTAAAATAGGAATTCAGTAAGAACTCCACCGAAACGCCATTTATAACAAATACAGATCAGCATTTTTATGGAATAGCACAAATATAATACTCCCTGAAGCCTTTTCGGTGGTGACTCATAAAAATTGACACCCTCCTGTTGGGTCTGTGACTGAATCCAAGGACCCAGTAAATTTTTACACTTGTAGGTCCTTAATGGAGCTGATATGATCAAAGGTGGAGGTAACTGCTGGTGTCAGCTGCTAACAGGGAGGCAGAGGTTTGGTTCAATGTAAAGGTCCACACGATGGACCTTTACACGAAGGTCCAACGATGAAGCACATCGTTGGTGAGTTAGGCAGAGTAACAGCAAGGATTCTTTAAACGTGGGCATGAAACTGAGGAAGCTGAGAGCACATGTTTAGTGACAGGGGAAACAGGGCTGGAATGGTTTCCTACACCATACAATATATGAAGTGTGATGAACTGTGCCCCTCTACTCTGCTCTTTGCCCTTCTGCTCTGGTGAGACCCCCTGGAGCACTGTGTCCAGCTCTGGAGTCCTCAGCACAGGAAGGACATGGAGCTGTTGGAACGGGTCCAGCACAGGGCCATGAAAATGATCCGAGGGCTGGAGCCCCTCTGCTGGGAGGACAGGCTGAGAGAGTTGGGGTTGTTCAGCCCAGAGAAGAGAAGGCTCTGGGGAGACCTTGGAACCCCTTCCAGTCCCTCAAGGGGCTCCAGGAAAGCTGGGGAGGGACTCTGGATCAGGGAGGGGAGCCCTAGGAGGAGGGGGAAGGGTTTGACCCTGAAAGAGGGGAGATTGAGATGAGATCTGGGGAAGAACTTCTTTGGTGTGAGGGTGGTGAGAGCCTGGCCCAGGTTGCCCAGAGAAGCTGTGGCTGCCCCATCCCTGGAGGGGTTCAAGGCCAGGCTGGATGGGGCTTGGAGCAACCTGGTCTGGTGGGAGATGTCCCTGCCCAGGGCAGGGGGGTTGGACTGGATGGGCTTCAAGGTCCCTTCCAACCCAAACCCTTCTATGATTCTGTAAGATGGTCAGAGCTGTAAATGTGCTGTAGATCCAGATACACGACCAGAAACCTTGCTCTGCTGTTGGGAGAAACCATTTTTCCAGTCCAGCTGTAAGGACCATTGCTCACACTTGGTTATTTTCTGCAGTGACCGTCTGGTTCCTGAGCTGGACACAGTTGTCCCCATTGAATCTACTAAAGCCTACGACATGCTGGATATCATACACTCCGTAAGTCTGTGATTAATACCTGGTATATTATATTCTGTGTGGAAATAATTGGAAGAAACTAATAGAATGGTACTGAGGAGATTTTTGTTTTTTTACTATTTTTACCTGCGTAATAGCCATGAATGAAGGGACAACAAAAACTGCAGGAAAAAAAGATTTTAGCAGGTGAAAGGAATCCCAAGACTTGTTTTGAGGATGCGTCATACACTGAGTGCATAACTGTACACGTGAAGGATGCTGTAATTCAGCTTTCTCTGAGGTCGAAATCCCCTCCCTCTTATCTTTAGTTCTATCACATGCCCTCCTCCCTGCACCTTGTTATTTGAATCTTGAATTTGGTCACTTGTTTATAAAATATATAGAGTGTATGCAAAGATTTACCTTTCTCTATTTATTGTAAGAGACAGTTATGTACTCAGACAACACAAGAATATATATATATATATTTAATTACAAGTCAAGCACTCAGAAGCTCGGATACTGCAATGTGAAAGTTTCATTAAGGAGGCAGATCTCCTGGGAGGGTGGCAGGGAAGGAAATATTGGGCTATTTTTTTAAAAAAAACCTGAAAGGCAATATTGCAATGTATAAATAATGGAGGTTTTATTAAAGCAGCGTAGGCAATGCTGGTAATTCTCTTGCCTTGACTCTGAGTACTTAACTTTTCCAGTTTTAAAAACTTAATACATTACAAATGCTTGGACAGAGAATACTGTTGTAACTTTTATCACAGAAAACTGTTACAGCCCTCTCTACAGCACCCTGAGAGTCCAAATTTTGACTATTAAAATTTCCAGCTGCTGCTTCCACCTCAGCCAGGGTTCTGAAGTGGATGACGAAGCTGACAAGAACTCCCTGCCACAGGCAGCACGTACAAATTGGGGGGGGAAGCTCAGCTGTGTTTGTAGGACCTTTACAAATGTTTCCCTTTTTGCTATTTCATTCAGCTGACACGTTTGAGTTTGCAGCTGGCTGCATTTAGACTCCTCTTAGTGGAGAAAGCAAACTCAGGATGTTTTTAATCTCTGGGTTCTCCAGTTCTGAATTTCTGCTACCTGTCACAAGTTAAAAGGTGGCATTTAAAAAACCTGCTTAAGTGAATTAGGAAAATAATAAACCCTCTCACGGACTTTGAGAAGCACTAAGGAAAGAAATAAAATTACTTTAATAATACTTATATTTTTCACAACTTTTCAGCTGCCTCCGCCAGTCATTTCTGAGACCAACTGCAGTACGTCAAGGCAAAGTTGTCATGAACAGTTAAAAACCAGGAATTTTAGTAGAAAACACCAGGCAGCCATGTATAGGTGTCGCTACTGCTCCGTGTATAATTATGATCCCTTTTGAATGTGTGAATGTTGATAACTGCTTTATACACCGGTGGATGTCACTTTGCAGAGTGACTTCAGCCCCAGAGGGAAGCGCAGCCACCGGGGAGTGGTGGGTCCAGACACAGATGTTTGATGTCACACGTGTTTTCTTCCACTGCAGATAAAAGAGCTTCTCCATCCTCCACTGTATCCGGTGGCACTGGGGACACGTGTGCAGCGCAGCACGCTGGGTTGGCCTCTCTTAATGAAGTGCTCTGAATTTGCAAAGAAATGAGTAAATATTAAACATCTCATGGAGAATTTCTGAGCTCCCCGAAGTACTCTTTGCTTTTCATCACTGGAAATTGTTCTTTGAAAGTGTAGCCTGCTGAGAATTCAGTTGTGAGAAAGAAGTTCCCTAACATCTGAAATTTAGGACCTCTTTTTTTATTATTTGTTTGCCTGTGAATATAATATATATATATCTGACCTCCTAAGGGCTCTGCCTACCTCTCACCCTTGCAGATTGCCGACGAAAGGGAATTCTTTGAGATCATGCCTGCCTATGCCAGAAACATTGTTGTTGGATTTGCCAGGATGAACGGACGAACCGTTGGGATAGTGGGCAACCAACCCAAAGTAGCATCAGGTTAGAGGTTGTGCCTCCTCTCTGCTTTGTCTCTTTTTTTTTTTTTTTTTCCCCCATGTTTTGTGTTTCTCCCCATGCTTTCCCCACCCATCATCTGGCTCCGAGATGAACTGTTTATGTTTTGCATCACATTAAAAATAACTGAAAACCAGTTAATTTCTTTGGTGGATCAACAAGGAGATCTTGCTCACAGGTAATTAAATGACTGATGGATGCAGCACGAGGGATAGGAACACATAAACAGGGTGGGTAGAGGACCACCGCTTATTTGGCAGCAGCTTGCAATTAACTGGATTAAACATAATACAGAAACTGCCTAATTACTGCCATAGCATTAGAAGAATTAAAACTCCTCTGTAGAGTGAGGTAACTTGTGGTTTGGGTTTTTTTTTGTCACCTTGCTATAGCTAGTACACTGCAAAGCTTTCAGACATACAAGTGTGAGGCTCTTGACCTCAAATAATTTAGATATGAAGGTACAACGTCCTTTTTAACTGTTGAGGGATTTTGCTTTCTCTGCTTAACCAGGTAATTTCTGAAGTGACTTTCACCAAACCAGACCTTTGTTTTGCTCCTTATTTTTAATTGTTGTGTCTTTTTGCTTAGGAAAATGAGATGATCTGGTATGACGTTTTATTCTTTTGTAATCTTTACCAGATATGACTGTCAAGATACCAGATAGCCAGCAGGTTTTAATATTGCTTTAGTTGATATTCTCAGTTGGAACAAACATTTTTAATGCTTCACATAGATGCTTTTATACAAAATGTGTTTTGGTTTCATACAGTAGCACATGATAAAATTCTAAATGGCACTGAAACAGAACAGAAATATGTTGCAGTGTGTTCATGAAAAATGCTGATCTTTCTCAAAATGTTAGTGGACCATTGAATTTTTTTTTTTTAAATGTAGAATTCTGTAGTCTGTCAATATTGATATTTTTCAGATCAGTCATAAAGATGAAATAGCAGAAAAATATTTTAAATTATGAGAGTATATTGAATTTAAACTGCTGCTTTTTATGACAGAAAGTCTCTACACACAGCTGTCAAAAACAGACTGAGTGCCTGTTGAATGTAGCTTGTGCCCAACCTTAGTTCTAACAGCAAAACTTCATTGCAGATTCTCTGCATGATCTCCAGATAAGCTTTGCTTTTGTTTTAAGAAGACAATACAGCTAAAATAGAGTGTGATTTTGAGGCTGCCTTGAATTACTGCCATTAGCAGATCACTGGACTCGTTGACACCTGTTTTTCTAACTTTAGGGTGCTTAGACATAAATTCTTCTGTGAAAGGAGCCCGCTTTGTGCGTTTCTGTGACGCCTTCAACATACCACTGATTACTTTTGTGGACGTTCCTGGATTTTTGCCAGGTATGTCTTGCCGTTATATTTCAGCTCCTGACAGGGTGGTGGTGGTGTTAATAACCCATTTTAAAAACTCTGTGAGAAGACCTTTACCGTAGTAGACTTAATTAAGCCAAGTTTTAAAATCACACTTTTTGGGACAGAAACTGTGTTTAGCAGCCTGTAGACACGCTGGGATGACCAGTTTGCCAGGGATGAGGGTGGGTATATCACACTCTGGAAAGCTCTGTCCTGCTGGCTGGAATTCCAGCAGAATTGCAAAGCTCTGACTGTGGCCTGTCCAAGAGAAAAAACCTGCATTCCCTGGAGATGGTGCCCGTGTCATAAATGGTGTGGGATGTGCTTGTGATTGAGAAGCTTTGAGCCAATCAGTAAGGAGAGGTCTGAGATGAGACTATTTTCAGCATGGGCTATATGAGCAGTTAGTGCTAAAACGATCTGATAACAGGTTGAGAGAGGAATATAAATGTTATATTGATAAACATGCTAAATTTTTCATACAATTGACTATAAGTTTAAAACTGTTGTATAAAACAAGGTTTACCTCAAGGCCTCTACAGATACCAAAGCATCAAAATGTCACTGGTCAACATTCCAGTTCTTTCTCTAATACAGTGTATTTTGGGTGTTCTAACGACGAGGCCGTACAGAAGGTGTTAAGGGAACCTTCCTCTTCCCTTTCTCTCCTGCTCTAGAGACACCCTCCTTGGCTGACAGACCAATCCAGATTTGGACAGTATCTCAGAATCCAAGAACAAAGCTATTTCCATAGAGCTGATGAAAAGCAGTAACTTAATATTGCATAGTAAAATGTGGGTTTGAAAGCGGATAGATGGAAGATAAATAAAAGTAGAGAAAGGTAAAGAGAGGAGATCTGAGACTTGACACCGATCTTAAACTGTTGTATTTTAAGGAGTTTGGCAAGGTTAGTACATTGGCATTACAAATTTCAGTTTAAGTAAAAAATTGCAAGGGTGGTGGGTCACCTCCTCTCCCTGTTCAGTAGAGAAGAAGAAAGAATCCATCACAACAGGTCACATCTCTCAGCGTTAGTCACCCAAACGCTTTCAGTAGCCCCCAATGTAACAATTGCAGAATCACAGAATCTTAGTGGTTGGAAGGGACCTCTGAGATCATAGAGTCCAACCACAAAATTGTGCACAGAGATGACATTTCAGCCGTTCAACACCCTCTAGCTGGATAAAAGCATATATTTAGGACACGTTTGAGGCTGAATATATGGCCAGAAAAGAGTTTATGTTAATTGGCCATGGATGAAAGTGTAAATAGTTCAAAACCAGTTCAATTGAGGTTAAACTTGAGGCATTTTTAAGTTCTAAGAAACTTAGAAACTAAGACTGTGACTAGATCCCAGGGTCTGTGGGTGCTGCCCAGGTTCTGGGTCTGTGTGGAAGATCCCAGCTGTGGTCAGGCTGCTGCTTGGGACAAGAGGAGGTGGCTGTTCCCTGCAGGGTTGGCACGTCCCGCTCTCTGGAGGGAGACACAAGAACCAAAAGTGAAATTGCAGTTGAGCGCAGACAGTTGTAAGTGTAGGCATAAATTATTAGACACTCCAATTACACTTGAGGGGAAGCATTAAAGTCAAGCCACCAAACAGGCTACCGAGTATGTTATTAAAAAAAAATCTCACAAAAGCATTTTTACTTAAAATATTACATTAAAAAAAGCCCTATAAATCAATTATCCATTACAAAGATCCCAAAGTACTCTAAGAGGTTACCTCAGGTGCTGAAAGCAAAAGTCAGTAGGTGGATAAACTGCTAGAAAGTAATTGTAGAGTTATATCCAGTGGTCTGAAATGCAGAAATCCTAGAAATAAAGTAGATGGGATTGGTGTTTCCAAGTGTGAGTCGGCAAGGCCTGTGTTTGGGGCAGAGCTGTGGTGGACACCCTAGAACGTGCATGACATGTGTTCATATCTGCTGCGTGTGGCCGTTCTCCAGAAACACCTGCTGCAGGAATCCTCAGAGAGGAACTTATGCTCTGTCTTTTCAGGTTCCATCATCTTGGGGTTGCTTGGAGGAAGACCAGGATAGGTGTTTGGTAATGGCAGCCAAGCTGCCTTTCAGTATGGTCTAGAAAAAAGGGCTTTTGGAAGAGTGGGTTTCTGGGGGAGCAAATCTAGGTTGTGTTTTTCACTGCTAGTCACATTGGGAGTCTTGGAAATGATGTAACTGTATTCTGTTCCTAGGAAGAGACCATCTGGTGAGTATTCTGGTTCTGTGACCTTATACACAAACACATGCTGCTTTTGGTGAGGGATTTTTCGTAGGGTTGCTCAGCATCTTGTGGAGAACTGTGCCTGGATATTCCCTTCTCCTGGGCATTGACACGGCTCTGGTTGTTGTTAGGTTTGCTGCTGGTAATGGATGATGGCAATTGCCCAACTGCATATAGGTTGTTTTTTTTTTGTGAATTCCCTGGAATGAAAAGAATTGTTTGTTGCTTGTAGGTACAGCTCAGGAGTACGGTGGGATCATACGTCACGGTGCAAAACTACTGTTTGCCTTTGCAGAAGCAACTGTGCCTAAAATTACTGTCATCACCAGGAAGGTAAGTTGGCACCATTCCATGAGTTCTAGACCAGTTCCGTGACTTCTAGAGTTCCCGTTTTCACTAGTAGCAACTTTAGTTACACGAAGTTTTGTCCATCTGTCCCACTTCTGCTTTCTGTCCTTGTCACATCTCTGTCCCATCTGGTAATGCCTCTTATGTCAGGTTACAACAGGCCATTTCTTCTGTTCTCAGGCTGTTCCTTCATTCCTTTTGTCTCCGCACTCCTCTGAAGACACGTTTCTGCTCTTTGCTTTCTCCCTGGAATGCCTTTGGTCAAGTATTTGTCCTCTGTCACCCAGCTGGTCTCGCTGAGCACGTGCCATCTGTCTGCACACAGCAAATCTTCTTCCTCCATTCTTGCCACTTCATTCTCCTTTTCCCAAACCAGTGCTGATTGTGTCTTCCTTCTGCTTTGTCTGCAGATTTAGCCCTCATGCGGTTTCTCTTCTTCCACGTGCGTTTGCTATAGTCTACTTAATTTTCTTCCTTTCTCTTTTTCTATAAGGTATGTGGCACCATACTGCCATAAGCTCTGGGGACCTTCTGGGTCTTAAAAGGCTTAGCTTTTTCCTTGCTCCCATTTTCTGATGGGCTTTTGACTTAGGCCAAAAAGAAAAAAGAACTTTCCCTTCTTTCTGTCCCTTTGCCTTCTCTGATTTCTCTGGCTATGGCCATCCTTTGCTTCCCAGGCTTGCAGCCTTGCTCTAGTTCTCAGTAACGCCTTGAGATGGGCTATAGCTCTGTGGTGTCTGTCCACCACTGCTGGCTGTGAGGAGCACTGTGGTGTCCCACTGCTGAATTCCCTGGCCAGGAGCACGCCGAGGGGTTGGTGTGTGCACGTAGGGGGTGCAGGGTGAGGCCTGCTGTTCCAGGTATACATCCATGCATCTTGTCTGCCAGCAAGAATGGTCTTAAGATACCAGCAGCCCCTTTCCTTGTTCTTCCGTGGTCCTAGTTGAAGAGATGTCTAGTCTTAAGAGATTGTTGTAGCAAAATGGAGACACTCATGCTCTTTCAGGTCAAATTTAGCACCACTTGCTTGTCTTTGGAATAGTAAAAGCTGCAAGAGGAATATAAGGCTATTGCTGAGGTCAGTCCACACTAATTAATGCCTTGGTTTTTTGTTCCAGGCCTATGGGGGTGCCTATGACGTGATGAGCTCAAAGCACTTACGAGGAGATGCAAACTACGCCTGGCCCACGGCGGAGGTGGCCGTGATGGGCGCAAAGGTACATCCCGGCTGACTCTCACACGGGGTGCAGTAGCCATCAGCGTCCTTACAGTGGCCCAGAGGCAGCCTGGCCTCTGGTGAGGTGAAGACAAAGGGGATTTTCCCTGAACAGGCTGAATTACTTCACTGACCTGGAGAGTGTATCTTTCTAGGGTGCTGTCCAGATCATCTTCAGAGGAAAAGAGGCAGATCGAGAGGCTGAATACGTGGAGAAGTTTGCAAACCCCTTTCCTGCTGCCATGAGAGGTACAGTTATCTCACACACTGTGTCCCCTGTTTGTGTTTGCTGTTGCACATGGATAAATTTGTAGCTATTCAGCTTTTTGCTAATGGGTAAGTTATTTAGGCAAGAAAGGTGATGCCTAATCATAGCTTGTCCACATGAAGGAAAACCAAATCTGGACATAAAACACATCCTCAGTAGGAAAGAGACTGGTGAGATGTGGGGACTGCCCTGAAAAGTATATTTTCAATTTCATAGATACTAGAAAGCAACTCAAAACTCAGCCTTTTCCTTAAAAGTACAGGAGATTTGATGATCTATCTGACAGTCCTAGATGCAGACCAGTGGCCTTAGGAAAGGGTCAGAGTCCAGTTCAGTTCAGTGATGTTCCCCGGGAGTCTTTGGAGTAAGTTTTTCAATTGTTCTTACTTCCAAGTTTTACTTCTAGCTTTGAAGCATTCACCGTGCTCTAGAAGGTGGTTCTGTAGACTCTGGAATCAGCTCTCTGTTTCCAGTCTTGCTGGCTTGATCTGTTAATTGGTTTGTACTTCATTTAAATTCTGCTAATAGTGCCACAGAGCTGGGAAAAGACTCAGCCAAGCTGTTTTCCGCCACAACCAATACATACAGTACTGCTCCCTCTGGTTTTGCAGCAGAGTATCTCTTACTGCTGTTTGAGCTGGAAAAAACCCAGACTCCTGCACGTGCAAAGTCAAGGGATGTCTCTTCTAATCAACACTTCTCCATCTTTACATCAGACTAATGGTAGGAGATGGAAGGAGCTGGTATCTCTAAAACTCTGCGGCTACAGGTGCAGTACTCACTCGAGTAAAGCCTCCTCCTTAACATTTTTGGTCTGCTAACTTTTGCAAAAATTAAGAAAGCAAATGTTTCTAATTTAAAAACCATTGAGGTGGGAATATTTCTTTTTCAGGCTATTTTAAATTTTTTTGTTAATTTTTAAATTAACAAAACAAAATTTCTTCTGATTTTGCTAGTGTATATTACAGCCTAGGTTACAGAAAGCCGAGGGGCAAATGCTTCATGGTTGGTCAGGGCTGGTTTTGCTTTGTTTTTTCCAGGGTTTGTTGATGATATCATCCAACCTTCCACCACCCGCCTGCGCATCTGCCATGACCTGGAGGTGCTGGCTGGGAAAACCCAGCCCAGTCCCTGGAAGAAACACGCCAACATCCCGCTGTGAGTGCCAGAGGGGCTTGGCCGTGCTGGAACACACATACTCTCTGTTGAAGTGGAGGTCCACTCTGCAATATTTCTTTTCATTTTGATTTTGCTAATGACCATGAATAAATCATAGTACGTATCTCATACACTTTGGGGTCTTATCGGTTCATCTCTATAAGCCCTTTTTGGTGGGTTAAGTCACCACAACCTGCAGTGGCGGCCGCAGGTGAGCTGTTAGTGATTGCTCAAGATCAGATGCTCCCTTGGTTCCTTCGTTCCTGGGCTTGGCTTTCAGTGCACTGGAGCCCAGGCTTTGCTGGTACCAGACTAACCTCTTCTGTTCCTCTGCCAGACTGTCCCCAGCTGCAACTTCTCTGTGCTGGCTGCAGCAACACCAGGTCTCAGGTTGGTATCAGTGGCCTCCAGGCTGTGGGCACCGGTGGGATAGAGAGGATGGAGCCAGGCTCCTCTTGAAGGACAAGAGACCATGCACCCAAATTGGAAAAAGAACAATTCTGGTGGACATAAAAACTCTTCTCCCTGAGCGTGGGGGGCTTTTCTCCCACAGCAGAGGGTTGAAATGGAGACCTCCAGAGTCCTCTTCCAGCCTAATTTTTTGTATTGTTATTTGCCAGACGTGCCAGGAACCGCTGCAGCAGATGGTCCTGCTGATCAGCCTTGGGCCCCGTGCTCACTCTGCTTGTTAGAAGCTGCATTTTAACTACAGCCCCAGAAGGTAGTGAGTAACAGCCTCTGTCACGTGTGGCACTACTGCAAGGAGCTGCCAAGCACGTGAAACCCCGTAGTGACCTGTCTGTTGTAAGTGACCTCAGTTATTAATGACATCATTACATTACCAGACTGGGAACTACCCTACCTGCACTCTGCAGCTGCCTCCCTTCGCTCCCAAACACGTGCCTGAAGTGGAAGAGAGGTAAGAGGGTGACTTTCCAGGTGGTGTCTCTTCCCAAGTCGGTGCAGCCGGTGCCCTAGTGAGTGCAGCCATGGAGCGTGGAGCCTGTAAGGCAGGGGGAAACAAAAAGAGATCTGAAAACGTCGTCCAGAAGGAGATTCCAAGCACAAGGTTGGTTGAAACTCCCCAGGTTTCTGTAACAGCTGGAGGGGATGCACTCAGGTCAGACTCTGCACCCTGGCCAGGGGCAAGGTTAAGGTAGACCCATCAATGTACCTGGCTGTCTCTCAGCAGGTGCCTGCACTGCCCCAGGGAACACAGCTGGCTGCAACAGCAGGGGAAGGTAAAGGAGATGTTATTATGTTGGGGGTCACTGCCACAAAGTGAGTTCTTAGTTGTGAGAAAAGATGTAGTTGGAGTTTGTATGAGTTTGTAAGGACCAAGAGGATTTTTTTCAAAGGTCACTGGTAGAGTGGCTGTGCCTGTCCCAAGTTCAGAGGCAAAAGCTGTTTCTTCAGCCTGTCTGGAGTCAGGAGGAGACACTGAGAAACTTGATTGTCATTGTCACTATGGAAAAAGTACAACCTTTCTTAATTGTTTCCTAACCTCGTTAGCTCTATAGTCGTCATCCTCTCTTCTGTCCCTTCCCAGCACAAGAATTTGGCCTTTATATCCTCTCCATTTCCAAGCAGTCAGTTGCTCCCACCAGCACAAGGTGTTGGAAACACGCTGGAAACCTCAAGATTCTCTTGAATTCCAGTCAGCTGCAGAAACAATAGATAGAAAATAAAATCCTTCCAAGAGAGAGCAGCCCTAGAAGTCAGAGGTGTGACAAGTTACTTACTGTGTTTCATGGTGCAGCAGGAGGGGAGGGTAACTTACAGGCGCGTGGAAATTCCGTGTTCAGTCCTAGAGAGCAGCTCAGTCCTGGAATAACATCCCCGTTCCTCACCTCCTGCATCCTGCTACTTATCTGACTCAGATGATTTCTTTTTCTTTAGGAAGTGGCCCAGATGACAAATAAGTCAGTTTTCTTTAGCGCTAACAGAGATGAAATCATTTATGGGTTGGACAGAAATAGCTCCTTTCTCTCGGAGCCACAGGAATATCAAGAGGACGTTTCCTTTCAGGAATCTGTAAAACTTGGTTTAGCCCAGCTGCTTGTTGGACCTTCGGAGCCTTTACCACTTCCATTTCTTCCACGGGGTCCAGTTCACTTCAGATGAACAAGGGCAGGAGAGTGAATTCTTTTTCTCAAAATTTGTGACAGTTCAAACAATTAAAACTTTTAACGATGCAGCTCTCCCAACTTGGGTTTACAGCTTTCCCAACTTACCAGGTTTACAGCAATCATCTCACAATAAAACCCCCCAGATCAACCAAAAACCCCAAAATACACCACAGTGGAGGAAAAAAGAAAATAAAAAAAAAATTGGACTCTGGCTGTCGAGCCTGGGCTACGTGGGAATTACCTTTTGGTATTCCCTTTGGCTGCTATAAATGGGATGACAAGATGTGATGGCCCAAACGAGCATTTAAAAGAAAGTTATAGTGAAGAGGGTGCTCATCATACTCATGATTTTGAATAGTTTATTAAATGAAAGGTGAAGCATCAGTTTTAAATTGTACAAAAGGAAAAAAAAAAAACCTCATATTGTAAATGTACAATTTACAGAATTACTAGCAAAACCAATCAAGGAGACACTCATAATACAAAAAACCTATTGACTGCAAACTGAACTGGAAACCCATTGCAGGTACCGTGATAGTAAATGTTTGTTATACAGTATTCTACAATGTTAAATTAGGAATCAGTTTTCCACACAGAGGACTGTGAAGCACAAGGTTTGTCTGAGACTCTGACTCAAACCAGGCAGCATTGATTATGCTACTATGCTCACAGAGTTATCCTGGTGACAATTTAACGCAGCCATTCCTGCCCACCCCTTCTGTAATTCTGGGGTGGACAGAAGAGGAAGGGAGGGAACAGTCATTTGTAATATTCCAGCTACTTCTCGGCTTTTATTTGTTACCCAACCACCATCTGAGGAATGGCTGAATTACCTCGGCAAACATTTTTGGCAACCATGTCTGAGAACTGTAAGAAACAAACCTCAGCTGAGTGAAACGCTGGTTTGTTTGTAAAATTTAAGATTCTTTTCCCTCCCAGCAAGTAAGGACTGGGCATTAAAAGTTGTTTTGTTTTTCAACACGCTCGTAACAGAAAAAAAAAGCTCCATGATTATTTTGCAGTTGCTAAAAAAAAAAAAAAAAATAAAAGCACCTCTAAAACTGCTGTGCTCCAAGTGGGTCAATCTGCTTTGTATCATCTCAAACGCTAATATTAGAACGCAGAAAGGAAGATTAACATTTTTTTGGGGCTGATTCTTAGAGACACTGGAGTCAGTGGGAGTTGTGGATGGCCAGCACCTCTGGTACCGGGGCCGGTTTTAACTAAGTAGCAGCTACTAGGCAGAGTCATAAAATCCAAGCGTAATGAAATTCCAAATTATTGAAGACATTGAAAAATCTCTTATTACAATGAATTAGCTGAGAGAATGTTTGGGGTTTTTTGGCTTTTTTTTGATGTTTTTAACTTTTTTGAAAAATCTTAGTATTTTTTTTTTCCAAAGAATTACTCTCAATATGCACAGTTAACACTGAAAATGTAGCTGTATTCCATTGTAAGCTTAAGAACTTCACCATCTAAGCACAAATTTCTATGCAGCACATACAGTACTTCTAACTGGCAAAATTAATTTACAAAAATAGCGCAAAAGGGTATTTACGGCATGGAAAGTAGACTTTTTTTTTTATGGTACAGTTAAAATTGCTTTTAGTATGCTAAAGTGATTCCTTTCCCCCACCCTTGACTACTTTTTTTTTTTTTTTAACTAGGAAAGTTGCTGTTTATGTACCTTGGGTTGGCAGGGCTTGAAGTAGGTAGTAAAAACAGCAAAGTGATTACTTGAGAACCATTTGTGTGTTTTACTGAGAATACTTTATTTGCTGGTATAAGTTGCTAAAAATGCACAGAGCAAGTACCAATAGAAAATTTACTGTTTTTGTGTCCCCATGTGCTATATAAAATGAATGTTACACAGCGTCTGTTGGAAAAGTGGCTTCATGGACATCTCTTACTTTATGTCCCATTATAAATAAAAATAAATCTTCTCAAGAGTATAAAATCTGGGTTTATCATATCAGAATCTGAAATTTTTTGGCAGAGATGCACGTCATTAGAATTCTAACCTCTTCTATAAGAGTGTTCTTCTCAATGCCTATGAGAGGATATAAGCGTACCATAATGTTAATCAAATCCAGTGTGTTCAAAAACACTTTTCTGTAGCCAGAATGACCTGCTTATAGCATCATTGCTAGTCAATGGCTGATAGGCATAGGTTTAATAAAAATGGCTAGCTTTTAAAACATAAAAAGGCAAATGTTAAAACTGTTTTAAATTGTACAGCAGAAAAATAAAGTTAAAAAGTTCTGTTTTCACTCAATGTTGTCAGAAAACGTATGTAGAACAGTGTTTATTTCGACAGCTGTCTTAACAATTTAAAACTTCCTCCTCATCCAGAAAAAAAAAAAAAAAAATCTGTATTAGGACAGTCAAGAACAGGGATACAAATGATCTTTTAGGTCAGCCCTTCTGAGGTGACTGGATTGGCCAACATTCCTTTGTGTCATTAAGAAGTTCCTCTTCTTTCTGTCACTACGAAAAGGGATTGACCTCAATCATTTGGTTAAAAATCAAACCGTATCACATCAAAAATGTGGTTTTTTTTTCATACAAGCTATCACAGTATATAGGCCTCTAGCTCTAAACAATAGAGTTCCAAATTTGTAAAACGTCTTCACCAGACTTCAGAACATTGGCATTCCAAATCCCTGGAAAAACGATTTAAGAGAGGGGAATTAATCAGGTGGAAGGATCATGGGAAAGAACCTCAGATAAAGAGCAGTGGGGAGGAGTAAAGCCTTACTGAATCGTCCTCGATGATAGCTGCGGAGTCAAAGAAGTCTGGCCTCAGCTCAGCCCGCTCTCGCCGGTTCCTCGAAGGTGGCTAAAAAGAGGAGTTGGACATTTCAGAACATCCCGTTGCTCACTGACAGTCACCTGGTCTTCACAGAGCAGCTTTGCTTGGATTTTTTTCATAAAAACCCCTTTGACTAAGGGAGCACTTCGTAAATTCATGTTTTGTTTAAGGAATGGGGTAAAAACAAATGGA